CACTCCCCTTCTTCACCCATCATTCCCCCTCCCTCCCTCCTCACACCCCCCTCACTCCCCCTTCACTCCCTGTTTTACCTGTATATCTGGGTGGTGATCTGCTGCTCTTGATAAGGTCACTTTGATCTAAAGATTCCACCAACCAAGTGAGAGCATTTGTGCAGTAATCCACCTGGATAGAGAGTGACAGAGAGAGTAACGTCACACACACACACACACACACACACAGGAACACACACACCCACATACGCACAGTCACACTCACCCACACACAGAGTAACACACACGCAGAGTAACACAGTGTGTATGTGTGTGTGACTTACTCTGTGTGTTACTCTGAGTGTGTGTGTGAGACGTTACTCTTGAGTGCCAGTCGAGTGGAGGCGCTAACCGGGTGGTGCACTGGGGGGAGTGAGGAGATCAGTGAGGGTGAGAGGGAGGTACCAGAGAGTGAAGGGATTTGAACACGAGTGGGGAAGATCTTGAAGTCGATGTGTTCGGTGATGGAGAGACAGTGGGAGACCCCACCCAAACCCCCACCCAAACCCCCACCCACACCCCCACCCACACCCCCACCCATAGCCACGCACGCACACACACAGAGAGAGAGAACCAAGACGTCACCTCCTCCTCCAGTATCCTCAGCCTCCGTTCATGCTCACGGATGTCCGTCATGTACTTCAAGATATTGTCGACCCTACAAAGACGTACAAATTCCCCGAAATTCAGCCCCGTCTTATGGCGCGAAAGTCCTAACGACGCCCCGCGTTAGCGTAACGCCTTTCACGAGGGTTGGCAGAGTCTGGGAGCGTTTAAGGCTGTTCCTGGACGGACTTCGTGAGAAGGAAAAAATTTTCAGGGATGTGTGGGGAAAGAGCGGGGGAGAGCGGGACTGATCGGGTGGGTGGCCAATTTGCCGTCACAGGCACGATGGGCCGAATGGCCTCCTTCGGTGCTGTGTTTTGTGCGCGCGGTTGGCTACCGAGTTTCGCCCACAAGGCACACAGTCAATTCACTTTACAGTGTATCCCGTGAAGCGCTTTGAGACGCCTCGAAGACGTGAAAAGGCACTGTGTCGAACGCGAGGATTACTCGTTGTTATTACTAATATTCTACGGCTCTACGAATCCCCGGCTTGGGGTTAGGAGTGCGAAGAATGGCTTACTTTTGCCCCGTCCTTTTCAGCCTCTCCCCATCTCGTTCCCTGTTCAGCTTCTCGCGGTTGACGAGATAGTTCTCCTTCTGCACCATCTCCCAGGTCATCAACTTACTGGATGCCAACTTCGAAAGATCCATCACTACATGAGGCAGAAAAATCTCTCGTGCTTGAATCTTGGCCAACAGCCCCAAGACTGTGACCCTCTTCCCATCCAATTTTGCCCACAAAATATACGGTCACTACACTTTACAGTGTATCGTGTGAAGCGCTTTGAGACGTCTTGAAGACGTGATGAGGCGCTGGATCAAAATGCAAGGATTATCATTATTATTATATATTAATATTATTATTATTATGAGCTTAGCTCATGCTGGAGGGTGAGTAAGGAAGTCTAACTCATCAGCCAACCCAATGCAAGGCCAACACAGCGCAGGTGAGCAAAGGTGGGGGAGGAAGAGGAAGATAGAGGAGGGTCTCTTACTGAAGTGCTTCCTCTTGACGGAGCTGACTTTCCTGATGTTACGTTTGATGATGAGGTTGATGTGACTGAGGATGATGAAGGGAGGAGCCAGCGCAGGGTATTTGTGATACTCCACGATCAGGTTATAGCGCTGGAACTTCCAGTAAATGTCGCTGTTCCCCTGAACCTTCGAGAAGGTGTAGCTGGAAATAGAGACATGAGGAGGAAAGTTACACACGGACACTTGGCTCCCAGAACGAGTGTGGAGTCCCAGTACCTCACCAGTTAGAGCGCTCGTCTCGCAAGCGAGAGGACCTGGGTTTGATTCCCGGGCAGAACAAAACCTTAAGCAAGTTTCCTTACTCCTTACCTCTGTTTACCCGATTGGAACCTGGTTGTTAGTCGATTGGTGGATCGCTTTCCGGAGATAATAATCCCTCCTAAATTTGGTCACTTGAATCCACGGCTGTTTGTGGGACACTGCTGTGCGCCATTGGCAGCCGCGTTTCGCCCACAAAATACAATCTACTTTACCGTATATCCTGTGAAACGCTTTGAGACAATTACGCATAGAAATGTCCCAAAAACAGTCATGGATTGAGTGACCAATTTAATTCTACTATTTATTATGTTTTTTCGGAAGGAATTATTACCTCCGGAATTATTACAATCGGGTTCCTACTTACTGCCGGGTAAACAGAGGTGTGCGTGAGGAGTAAGGAAACTCGCCTAAGGTTTCTTCTTGCCCGGGAATCAAACCCAGGTCCTCTTGCTTGCGAGGCGAGGGCTCTATGATGATGGACAAGAAGATGCGGAGGGAGGTCTTAGGTTCCTATGATGGAGGGAGGTTGTACTGCACCTGAACATGGCGATGAGGAGGTTGACCAGGAGGATGTTGGCCACCAACAGAAAGACTACAAGTAGGACAATCACCAGCCAATTGGCATAGGTGTTGATGCAAGGAGGCAGATCGTCCATGACCATGGAGATGGGGTCATTGGTGCAGTTAACGGTACTGATGAACGCAGCTACAATAGAACATGTGGAGTCAGAGCACAGCACACGTTACACACACAAGCATTTCACGGCTGTACGTGTGTATGATGTGTGGACACACACACACAAATGCACACATACACACATGCACACATACATGCACACATATATGCACACGTGCGCACAGACATACACGCACGCACGCACATGCACGTGCTGACTAGGAACCTCACCATCGATCTCATTCAGTGGGATTTGGCCGAAGATCTGGAGGTAGGGTCTGTAGAAAACCCGACGGAAAATCCAGCTGAGCCGAGCTTCTCCAGGGTGCAGGAGCCCCTGTGTGGTCACCCCGTAAGCCACCAGCCAGATCCCCAGAAAAAACAGGAAGAAAAAGACATCCTTCATCTGGGACAAGAGAGAGAGAGAGAAAGGGGGAGAGAGAGGAAGAGGGAAGACTGTGAGAAAGATCCGTCAGTCGGACATTATAACACATTCCCCTATTCCCCTGGAGTTCGAGAGGCCAAACAAAGCCCAACGACTGAGAGGTCTCACACACACACACACACACACAGCCCCATCTCCATAGAATCATAATAATAATCCTTGCATTTGATATAGCGCTTTTCACGTCGGGAGGACGTCCCAAAGCGCTTCACAGAACACACTGTAAAGTGAATTGACTGTATATTTGTGGGCGAATGCGGCAGCCAATTGCGCACAAGTCCCACAACAGCAAAACCAATTTATATTGTTTGTGGGTATATTAGCCTGAGTAGGAAACTGCCATTCCCTTGCGGATAATCATCACTTCAAGCAGTGCCAACCCGAGTCGCTCCACTAGAATCATAGAATCGTACCGCACAAAAAGAGGCCATTCGGCCCATCGAGTCTGTGTCGGCTCTTTGAATAGAGCAATTAATGTCAGTCCCACTCCCCGGCCCTTTCCCCATAACCCGCAAACCCGTCCTCACATACCCGTCACCGCGTTTTTAAAAGTTGTTATCGAATCGGCCTCCACCGCCCTTTCCGACACCTCCTAACCTCTGGAATAATCCAAATGATAATAGAACTCCCCCAGTCTCCAAATCCACCTGCCCGAAATTAAGATGGGAAAAGACCCCCTCCCTTTCCCCTACCCCTCTCTCCCCCACAATCCCACCCCACTACCCGCCCCCCCCCGCCCCATCCCACCCCCGCTCGCCCCAACGTGGTTTTCTCCTTGAAGCAGTGCACAGTGTTGTCCAGTCTTTTCTGTCTGTCGGAGTCGTGGCTCAGTCCCAGAGAGCTGCTCACACAACTACAAGCAAAAGAAAACACACACACGGCCATTATATATATATATACACACACACACAAAAAAAACTCTGTTAGAATGGAATGCGCTCTCTCTCTCTCTCGCCCCCCCCTGCTCACCTAATTCCGGAGAGTATTAGGCGTAGGTTGGCGAGAGCCAAGGCTTTATGGGGGGGGTGGGGAGAGCCCAGAGTGTGCATTGGGGGCAACTGATGGGAGTCTAACCAACTAAACCCACAAAGCTTGGCCACTGATGGGATGGGGAAAGAGTCAAAACGCCAGCCGTGAAACACAGATGGAGCTTGTCGTAAGCCAGGGCTGGTGGCAGAGCGGAGGCAGCGGGTAGAGGGGTGGGCGGCGGGGGGTAAGCAAATCAGGTAGGTAGGGAGGTGCGAGGGGAGAAAGGGGCACGTGCCATTTCCACTCCTCTGCCCCGACGCCACCAGATTCTCGGGAGCACCGAAGCTCTCAGCCTCACAGCAACGAATACGAGTGCCTTTCACGTCGGGAGGAGAATAATAATAATAATGATAATAGTAAATAGTAATGCCCGCATTTGACCCGGCGCCTTATCGCGTCGTCGAGACATCTCAAAGCGCTTCACAGGATGCACTGTCAAGTGAGGTGACCGTGTAGTTTATGGGCGAAACGCGGCAGCCGATTGCGCCCAGCGACGTCCGTCCCCGTGGGTTGAGTGACCACGTTGTTATTTTTTTGGTCTCAAAGCCTGGTGCCTGCTTTTGGGGGGTCGGGGAGGGGGAGGTGGGGTGGGGCAGAAGGGGAGAGCAAAGAGCCTTAGTGAGTTCAGCCTCTCCCGCTCACTAAATGGCCCATCGCTCTGGGGAGGTTAGTGTTGCTGGAATGGCCCAGTTCCCTGGAACGCCGCCCGGCTGACATTCCGGAACGTTCCAGGCAACAACGACGTGAGAGACAGGAAACCGATCAGCCGGGTCACTGGCCCGTGACTCCACTCTCCGCCCAGACCTTGGGAGGCAGCAGTTTCCCTTTGTCAACATGTCTCTCTCTCTCTCTCTCTCTATCCTCGCCAAGAGAGAGAGAGAGAGAGAGAGAGAGCGCCAAACGACCACAGAGCTCACACAGGGCTCTGCAACCACATCAAATGACTTTCACGTCAGGAGGACGTCCCGAGTCCCTGGACAGTCAGACGTCCGCACCCAGGCTGGGATTTGGGACCAGGAGGGGTGGGGGGGGCGCAGGGAGGGAGGGTACTGAAGGCACAGTCCAAGAGGAGGGTCTTGAGACGGCTCTTGAAAGAGACGAGGGAGGGGGCGAGGCAGAGGGACTGATCCAGTTCCACACAGGGCTGGTCAACTCACTGCCCGTTGACCCAGTTTACAACGTCTCACTGTCTCCTCGTGCCTCACAGGGAATCACTGGTCGAGCGTAGTGACTGTTCACTTTGTAAGCGTCTATCTCAGGGACACAGCAAACTCCCGCAAAGGTGTAGAGGATAATAATAATAATCCTTGCAATTGATACAGCGCCTTATCACTCCGTTGCGATGTCTCAAAGCGCTTCACAGGATACACTGTAAAGTGGAGTGACTGTGTGCGCGCGTGTGTTTTGTGGGTGAAAGGCGGCAGCCGATTGCGGCAGATTGAGAAAGAGGAAGAGAGACAAAGAGAGAGAACGAGACAGAGAGAGAGAGAAAGATGGAGAGAGAGAGAGACAAAGAGACAGAGCTGGGTTTGACAGTAAGAGGTAATTATGAGCACAGGCACAGTCCCACCGTCTGTCTGAGTGGATGTAATCTGCACACAATACACACTGAGCTGGTCGGAGACAGCAGTGGCTCAGTAACCAGCTTATTCAACGCATTTGTGCCTTTATACCTCCCCCCTCCTCCCACCCCACCCCAACCCCTACTCCCTCCCCCACTCCCCATCCCCTCCCCCATCCAGCTAAAAGCTGCCTCGTGAGCTGTCGTTTACCTCCACCCTCCCCACTCTCCCCCCTCCCCACCCTCACAATCACCCGTTGCTAGGTTTCTGCCCAGGGTGACCTGACTCTTTGCTCCGCTCCACTGGGCATCTCCATCAAGCCTGGCACGGTGCCACACACAGAGCGGGCACAGCCGTACCTCGCGATGATATAATATAATAGATGTGATACTATAATACAAGCCGATATAACGCGTGGCCAGTGGCCAAGGCTCCCGGAATCCCAGGGCGCCCTTAACTATAATAGCCCTCCCTATCGCGTCCTGGCAGTGGAGTAAAACGTGCAGTGATGTGCTTTCAGGCACGCGCATTGTCAGCCGGCCAATGCCCCCCACACGCAGCCCGACACAGTGACGAATGACGTTAAACTCTCTCTCTCGCTCTCTCCCCCCGTCTGCCTGTTCGGGCGAACGTTAAACATCTCCCGCAGCTCTGTTCGAAAAGAGAAGGGAGTCTCTCTCTCTCTCTCTGTGTGTGTGTGTGTGTCCTGGATGACAATCCCCCAGATACAATCGCTCACTCGCTCTGCGCCTGTTTGTGGGACGCTGCTGTGCACCATTTGAGGGCATGTTGCCCACAAATTACACAGTCACTGCGCTTGACCGTATAATCTTGAGAAGCGCTTTGAGATGTCTCAGTGACGTGATAAGGCGCTGTATCAATTGCGAGGATTATTATTATTATCATTGTACACCCTCCACTTCTTCGCGGTCAGAACTTTACAGTAGATCTTGCGAAGGGCTTTGCGACGGTGAGGTAAGATGCGAGATCGAATGCGTCGTTTGGATCACGACTGAAGAGCTTCCTCTTTGACCGTATTTACTGTCACCTCCTCCCCTCCTTCCACACACCCCACCCCCCCCCCCCCCAACCCCCGTGCTGTTAATCGCTCCGGGACGCTGTGGAAATGCAAGCTGTTGTTGCTCCCCCCATCCCCAGTACTGCGCTGGAGCACAAGTCGGGGACTTACGTCTCACTTTGCTCGGCAACTCACGCTCGCTATCTGTAGAAGCCGGAGAATTCCATCAAGGACCAGCTGATCATGGCGGCATCTTCAGCGCTGCTGGGCGGAAAACAACAACAACAACCGACATTAATACGGCGTCTTTCACGTCGGAAGGACGTCCCAAGGCGCTGGACCGTCTGGGATTTGGACCCGAGTTGGGGGTCGGGATCAGGAGGGTGGGGTGGAGGGGGGGGGTGGGGGGCGTAGAAGGGTGACCTAAAGCGCAGTTGGTCGAAGAGGTGGGTTCGCGAGACGCGGCTTCAAGGGATTTGAAAACGGACTCGGAACGAGGTGAAGCGAAGGTGGGAGAGAGGGAACTAGTGAAGGGGGGGGTCGGAGAGGGAGCGAGCGAGGGGGCGAGGGAGATATGGCTGAAGTTCCCGGCTCTCTACGTACCACATCACCTGCTTGTGAAATTCCATCATTTGCTTCGCTGTTGCTGTGATGGCTCCGGCTGACAGTTCCTTGGGAAGGCCCTTCAAAGCGTCCTCCAGCCACTGACAGAAGGCCTGCGGGGGGGGTAGGGGGCATGTTAGACAGCTCAGCCCGCTCAAGTCAACCCTCTCATCCCTGGTATCGTGTGCGCGTCTGTGTAAGAAAACCTGCCTCGGATCTCGCCCTGCCCGCCCGGGAATCGAACCCGGGTCCTCTTGCTTGTGAGGCGAGTGCTCTAACCCCTGAGCCTCAGGACTCCACACACCAGTGCAATACACCATGTCGTCTGAGCCAACTGCGTTACACAGAGAGTGACCTGCCCTAAATGTACAGGAGAACTTTTGACACAGCTTTCCCTTACATACAGATAAACAATAGTAAATAAATTGCACTTGATATAGCGTCTTATTATAATAAGACTGCGGAGTGCAGGGACTGTGTTATTTGTGGGCGAAACGCGGCAGCCAATTGCACACTGCAGCACTGCCCAATGCAAGGGGAGAGGGAGAAGGGGAGGGAGGAGGGAAAGGGGGGAGTGTTCCCCCAGGACTCACCTTGTGGTCGAAGGCTCGGAGCTCCCACATGACCTCGGCCACAGTACCCAACATGCTGGGCACCAGGTAGAAGCAGCTCGCCCTCAGCAGCTGGCTGACCAGCAGAGCCCCGCTTTCTGCTAGGATCCCCCGCACAAGGTTCTTCCTCAACTCAAAGTCCTCCACTCGCTGGGAGACAAGGCACGGGTTAGTCTCACATACGCACACACAACGCACACGCACGCGCGCGCGCACAGAACACACACGTCACCTCTTTGACGACGCCCAGATGAACGAGATCCTGTACAAACTTCATGACGCTGGAGTTTGCGTCCCTGTGGTTGAGGGTGGCTGCAGCGATGGCACAGCGGATGATCAAGGACATGACGGGGCTCTGGATCAATGTCACGGGGCTGCGCTGGATAAACCTGGGGAGACAGAGAGAGACCGGAATCTTCAAAGCGTCGGGAGGGCGTTTGGAGTAACGTTAGCTACTGAGTCCTCCCCCACCCCTCCCCTCTTTGCCGGGCGTTTCCCCGAGTTACCTGGTCGCCAGTCGGAACAGGTCGTCCACCGTGTCCGGATGGTTCTGGAAGCCGCTGGGCTGTTCTAGAAGCTGGAATGTTGGACCGCAAAACGCCTGGAGGACACGTGAGGTTTTGGTCAAGAAAAAAAAATAAAAATTGAAACATTCGGGAAAAAATTCTTCTCCGCTCTCCTCTCCCCCCACCGGATTAGTACCAATCCTGACATTTGATCCAGCGCCGCATCACGTCGTCGAGACGTCTCAAAACGCTTCACAGGGTACGTTGTACAGTGTAGTGACTGTGTATTCCTTGGGCGAAACGCAGCAGCCAATTGCGCACAGCAGCGTCCCCCACAAACAGCCGTGGATTGACGCGACCGAATTATTATTATTATTTTATTTTGAAGGGATTACCCCCCCCGGAAAAGGCATCCGCCGATCGACTAACGACCGGGTTCCTACTTACTGCTGGTAAACAGAGGCGTGTGTGTGTGTGTGTGTGGAGTAAGGAAACTTGCCCAACGTTTCGCCCCATCCCTCCCGGGAATCGAACCTGGGTCCTCTCACTTGCGACGCGAGCGCTCTGACCACTGAGCTACAGGGACTCCATGAAAAACTCCAGGGAACTGTCCAGGGAAAGGCAGCCTTACCTGCATCATATCCAGCAGCCCGTATGTGCAGCTCTCCTCAGCACCATATTCATCCACCAGAATACTGCCCAGGTACAGGAAACAGGAATGCTGGTATAGCTGGTATACGCTCACCATCTGGGGGAGAGGGGGGGGGAGAGAGAAGGAGCGCGGGAGAGAGACGGAAAGCAAGGGAGAAAGGGGGAGAGCGAGAGAGAGAGAGAAAGAGCGAGAGGGAGAGAAAAAAGGAACAAGAAGAATTTGTTGCAAGGAACAAATTAGAGATGCAAAATTAAGAGGGTCAGAGAGACAAGGGAGAGGCACAGAGAACAAAGGAGAAGAGACAGAGTAAAATAAAGGCAAAACAAACAGGAGATGAAGGCAAATCCATATTAGAGTGAAACAGAGAGAGAGAGAGAGAGAGAGAGTGAGTGAGGGAGAGGACAGAGAGAGAAAGTGATTAGTTCAGCAAAAACAAGTCCTGTCCAGACAGTGAAACCACACACACTGATACAATGGCAGAGGCATTTCATTGTTGGACTGGCACTGGCTTCAGCGAGGATGGCAACACATTCAGACGGACAACCGAGCAGAGCAATGCCCTAAAGTTGTTAACATAATAGTAATCCTTGCATTTGATATAGCGCCTTATCATGTCTTTGAGACAGAGACAGACAGACAGAGAGAAAGAGAGACAGACAGAGGGAGAGACAGACAGACATACCTGAGACACCAGGGGCTGGATTAACGTGGCTGATCCCTTACCCACGCATCGGATGGCAAACCTCAGACACCGACAGCAACGCTCTACCATGCGATTGTCTGCCTGGTGCCTAAACAGTGTCTCGGAGATGATGGGCCAGATCTGTGGCAATTAAGGAGTTCAAAATAAAAGAATTAAGCACTCAACAAGGCACTGGCAAATCACCACCACGGCCACAGGGGTGAAGGGCAGGGAGGGGGTGGGGGTGGGGAGGATGGTCGAAGGCACGGTCGAAGAGGAAGGTCTTTACACGGGACTTGAAGGAGGCAAGAGAATGGGGGTGAGGCGGAGGGATTGAGGGACCTGAAGCAGGTTAGGACACGTTGGGGTTAGGAGGTCAGAGAGGTAAGTGGGGGGAGCAAAACCGTGGAGGACAACAACAACAAAAACAACAGCAACACAGCGCCCCTCAGGCAGGGTAGGGTCCCAGAGCGCTTGACAGTGGCGGAAACGACACCGGAAGGTGACCGTAAGCACTGGCTAACTACGAGAGAAACTGAGAGGTGAGTTCTTATCGAACGGTTTCCTCACCTCCTGAATGACCTTCTGGCAAGGATGGGGTCTCCCTTCAGCCACTACAGGGTTTGTGTGTCTGGGGTTAGAAGAGAGTGCGTTACAACAGCAACAACTACACATTTACACAGCGCCTTTCATGTCGGGAGGACGTCGCGAGGCGCTGGACACTCGGGGATTTGGACCCGAGCTGGGGGTTGGGATCGGGAGGGTTGGAGAGTGGGGGGCAGGAGGGTGACCGAAGGCACGGTCGAAGAGGAGGGTCTCGAGACGGGCCTTGAAGGAGGCGAGAGCGGGAGGGAGCGAGGCGATGGGAATGTGTGATGGCTCACTTAGTGAAGGAGGTCAGGGAAGGGGTGATTTAAAGACAAGACAGTCCACTGGCTCAAATCCCTTCTCTCCCCCCCCCGCCCCCACCTCTCTCTCATACACCACATTATCCACCAGGTTTGCAAGACGCTGCTGTGCGCAATTGGTGCCGCGTTTCACCCATAAAATATACTTCAGTCACCCCACTTTACAGGGTATCCTCTTAGTGGAGTCCTGTAGCTCAGTGGTTAGAGCACTCGCTTTGCAAGTGAGAGACCTGAGTTCAATTCCAGGCAGAGGGCGAAACCTTGGACAAGTTTCCTTACTCCACACAGAGCCTAATAATAATCCCTCCAAAACCAAAAACAATAATAAATTGGTCATTTTCAATCCACGACTGTTTGTGGGACATTGCTGTGCGCAATTGGCTGCCGCGTTCGCCCACAAATATACAGTCAATTCACTTTACAGTCTATTCTGTGAAGCGCTTTGGGACGTCCTCCCGACGTGAAAAGCGCTATATCAAATGCAAGGATTATTATTATTATTATTAAGTGTTTTGAGACGTCTCAACGACGTGATAAGGGGTCGTATCATTATTTATTCATCACAACCCTTCTTCCGTTCCCCATCATCCCTCCTCTCTGGCGCTCGCCAGTTAAACACCAGTTCGACGAGGCAGAGAATGGCCTCGCCAACTGACTCGACGGCAGAGCCTGGCGCTGCCACCCACCCTCCCCAAGTACTCGCTGATCCGTACCTGAAGATGGCTGCCAACCTGTCAAGCCACACAGCGGGGTCGTTAGACACCCCACTGGTCAGCTCAGCCGACAGCAACTGCAAGAAGAAGAAAAAAAAACAGCAGAGCAGGTTGAGGTGAGTTGGCATCACAACACCACCACAGTCAACAGCCCACACACTACTGCTCTCCCTCGAGAAAATCAATGCCCTTAAACCAGGCAAGGGTGGAGATACAACTTGGGTGTCTCTGACACACTCGGAAACCCATCACCGTGGCTTAAGAGTCTCCAAACCCAACTGAGAATTCCCCACATCCCACCCACACCTGGAAACCCCAGAGAGAGATGGTTGGAATGTGCTCTCTCTCTCTCTTCCTGAAAGGACCCATAAAATATACAGTCAATTCACTTGACAACTCCTGAGGAGAGGGGGGGTCACACACAAGGTCAACTCCTCACGCCCCCGAGAGGTTAGCGATAAGAGACTGGACAGACATCTCGACATTCCTCACCTTCTTCAGCGCGGAGACTTGCACCAAGCACAGAGCCTGGAACGTCTCCTGGATCTTCTCAGTCGGGAGTCGGGCCAACACCAGGGAGATACCTGGCGGGCGACAAGAGGATGGGAGTCAATCGGGCTCAATCCACGCCTGTCCGTGGGGGACCCCGCCGTGCGCAATCGGCTGTCGCGTTTCGCCCAGAAAATACACAGTCGCTCCACTTTACAGCAACAGCGCCCGACTCTGCCACAGCAATCGATCGGCTGCCATGTTTCGGCCCGCAGAACACACAGTCACTCCGCTTGATAAGTGTATCCTGTGAAGCGCTTCGAGACGTCTTGTCGAAAACAGAAGGGAGCTTCTCTCTCTCTCTCTCTCTCTCGGTGTCCTGGCTTTCCTGACCGCGCTGCTGGTGACTAGAGTTAATCACGACAGCGGGAACCCTAACCCTGTAAAGCTTCCCCTCGCCGACCCAGCGCAGCGAGTACCTCGGAGCAGGCCGATGGAGGCATCGTGGGAGGTGGCGAGGGTGTCGAGGGACCAGGCTATCTGCAGCAAGCCCTCAAAGTGCTGAGTCATGGCGTCCCGACACACCACACAGATGTTCTGGATGGAGTTGGCTGTGGCATTGGCCAGCTCCTTCTGCTTCAAGCGCTGAGTCAAGAAATTCAACACCGGCTCTGTGGGTGTGGGTGGGAATATCTCAGGCAAGTTTCCTTACTCCACACGTGCGCACACACACACACGCGCACACGCACGCACACATACGCGCACACGTACCAGTAAGTAGGAACCTGGTTGTTAAGTCGAAAAAATAAATAAATCGCATTACACTCCCATCTCTGTCACACACCATCTCCCTCGCCCGTTCACTCATTCTCCCCCACGATCTCACCCCGATGTTATGTTCATGAGATGAGTTGGTACCACTTTGATTGCACAAACGTGTGGTCACTCAATCCACGACTGTTTGCGGGGACGCTGCTGCTGCGCGCAATTGGCTGGCGCGTTTCGCCCACAAAATGCCCAGCCACTCCACTTGACAGTGTGTCCTGCGAAGCGCTTCGAGACGTCTCAACGACGTGATGAGGCGCTGCACCAAATGCAAGCATTATTAGTAGTAGCATTGTTACTGACCCAGGCACTGTGTGTTGTTATTGATGTACTCGCCCACCTCCCCCAGTAGCTGGATTCCGGAGTGCTGCACCGCCAGGTGTGTGTTGTCAGGGAGATGGATCACCGCCTGTACCACATCCGCCAACCTCTGCTCCTTCTCCCTACGTCAAGAGGAAGGCAAGAGAATGAGCAGCCGAACTGCGCTGTGCGAGGGGCGCTGTGGATATAGTGCTGTGCGTGTGCGCCGCCCGCCCCCGGCCTCAAACTCACGGGTTCAGGTTTTTGACTAATGCGGTGATAATGAATAGCACGGCTTCGGTTTCCTCCCAGGCCGGGCTGCCCTCCTTCAGCGTCGAATACAACTGCAATAGAGGAACATAAGTGCCCGGTTACCTTAATTATCACAACTAATAATAATCCTTGCGTTCGCCTTACCACCTCGTTGAGGGTCTGTACAGAGTTTTGCGCGTATAACTGTAAACCGTGTGTTTTGTGGGCAAAACGTGGCAGCCAATTGCGCACGGAATTTTTTTGGAGGATTATTATTATTAGGCCAATCCTACTTACTGCTGGGTAAACAGAGGCGCGTGTGTGTGTGTGTGTGTGTGTGTGTGGAGTAAAGAAACTTGCCGAGGGTTTTGTCCCGGCTTGGAATCGAACCTGGGTCCTCTCGCTTGCGAGAGCGCTAACCACTATGCTACGGTACAGTTACAGGCTCCAATCCTCCAGGAAGACCCAAATCCCTCTGCCTTGCCCCCTCGTACCCCATCTTCAGGTCCCAGCTAAAGACCTTCCTCTTCGACCGTGTCTACGGTCATCTCCCCCCTCCCTCCAGCTCAGTCGAGTGCTCTGTGATACTACACTGCATGAGGGGGCGCTGTGGGCGAAACACTAGCTGCTGTTGTTGTTGTTGTTGTTGCTACCCCCGCCTCCTCCACAGTAACAGGTTAACCCTGTGTATTGAGAACCGGCTGATCGCCTGAAGGTCTGTAACTCCAGCCCAGCTCTCGTTCCCCACTCACCCTCGAGAAAAACTCAGAGGCCCCGATCAGGAACAGCACGTCTTTCAGGAGATCAGAGACACGCAGCCGGAACTCGAAGAAATCATCCGTCTCCTCCAGAACACCCTCCTGTAACAGAGGGAGGAGTGGGTCAGCCAGCCAGCACTGCGCTGGTCAGTGAGCGAGTGAGTGAGAGTGAGTCAAACACACACGTATACACACAGGCGGACACACACACGGACAGGCACACACACGCACAGACAGGCACACGGACAGACACACACAGAAGAACGCACACACAGACACAGATGGCCACATGGACACAGACGTACACAGATGGACACACACAGACAGACGCGCGCACACACACACACAGACAGACGAGCGCGCACACACAGACACACACACACACAGGGACGCACACACAGACGGGGACACACACACACAGGCGGGGGACACACACACAGATGGGAGGGACACATACACTGACGGGGGGGGGAACACACGTACGTGGTCGGGATCCATCTGGGAGTGGAATGTGAGCGACTGGATGAGTCTCTGGAAATAGGGCCTGAAGACGTGGTTCATGGAATGGTCCTTCATCTTGTGCAAGGTCTCGGCCAGCCGGTACCAGAAGTTAAACGTGATCTCAGCCACCTGTTAGGGCAACACCTGCCGTCAGCCTCTGACCTCCTCCTCCCTCCCCACCCGGCCTCGCTCCCTTTCCCCCCCACACCTCACTCCCTCCCTCACCCGCCTCATCCTCCCCCACACCCCCCGAGCCCTGCCTCACATCACCCCCACTACCACCCCAGCACGTCAGATGAAACCCATCCTCCCCCAGGTCACCTAAAGCAAGGTTTAAAGGTTAGACAGCCCAACTCCCCCAGCCACACAGCAGAGTCAGGCCCAGGGTATGAAGGGGCTCCTGCCCCAGGTTCCTGGGGATGTCAGCTCACCTCGTACTGTTCGTGGCTCACACAGTTGAGGATGAGGTCGAGGGTTTTGAGATCTCCCAGGCCCTGTCCCGGGGAGCGGATCACCATCTCCAGCAGCGTCTCTGCCAACTCCGTGAAGATCCGGCAATAATTCAGCGCTCTGCACCACCGACACTCGGGATATCAGCAAAGGATCGCTGCTGGTAAAGCCTGGCACCAACTGCCACTCGCTACCAGCCTGACACACACACACACTCACTCCCAACACATTGCCTGACACACACACACTCCCAACACACAACCTGACACACACACTCTCCCTGCTCCCAGCCTACAACACACACACACTACAATGCTATCACACACCCTCTCCCCATGCTGTGGGAGCCCCAGTCCTGCACCTACTTGTCCATGTCCTCACAGGCCACGGCGGTCTGATAGGCCTCCTCCAGAGCCGTCACCCCCTCCTGTAGCTGCAGGGCCAGCCGCAGGTTCTCCTGTAAACTCTCCACTGCGTATAGCGCCGCGCACACACAGTCGCTCGCCACCTCGTGCAGGTTAGAGGACGTCTGGTTGTGTCTCTAGAACCCAGCAACAGACAAGCAAGAAAGTGACAGTCTCATCTCTCCCCCACATCAGTTACAGCACAGGTTACATGGGAGTAAACTCCCTCTACACCAGCCATCCAGCGAGGACTCAATTTGATAATAATAATAATAATAATCCCTGCATTTGATGCAGCGCCTTATCACGTCTTTGAGACGTCTCAAAGCCCTTCGTGGGACACACCGTAAAGTGAATCGACTGTATATTTTGCGGGCGAAACGCAGCAGCCAATTGCGCACAGCAACGTCCCACAAACAGCCGTGGATTGAGCGACCGAATTATTATTATTTATTTTTGATGGAATTATTAACCCGGGAAACGCGATCCGCCAACTGACTAATTTTAATAACCGCAAGGTAAACAGAGGGGCGGCGGTGGTGATGGTGGGGGGGGATAAATGAAACTTGCCCCACGTTTCGCCCTGTCTGGGAATCGAACCGTGTCCTCTCATTTGCGAGGCGTCTAACTACTAAGCTACAAGATATCCAGAGAAGTTACGCTTGTATAGCGCCTTTCACGTCAGGAGGATGTCCTAAAGCGCTCGCAGTCAGGGATCCGCAGTGGGTCACTCACCAGCACCTGAAAGAGAGCCACGAGGAGCTGGCTGCTGGCGACGTGGTCTGTGTGTAGGACTCCCAGGTTAATCCAGCTCATCAGGCAACGGAAGACTTTAATCATCAGCTTCTCGTTGTGGCCACATCGCTCCATACAGGCCGTCTGCACGACAACAACTTGCATTTACACAGTGGTGGATCACGACGCGGGACGGTGGGGACGGTTGGGGGGGGGGGGGGGGGGGAAGTGACCATAGGCATGGTCGATGAGGAAGGTCTTCCCTGAAGATGGGGGAGGGGTTAAAGCGGAGGGATTGAAGGAGAGGGTGACAGAGCAGCGGCTGAAAGCGAGGACGCCAATGATGGAACGGAGGGGACAAGGGGTGTGCAGGAGGCCGGAGCCAGTCGAGCGGAGGGTAGCGGGTCGGGGAGTAAGCAGGAGAGGTAGGGAGGTGCCAGGTCACCTTTAAAGCTACCTCTTCACTAACCCTCCTCCCACCTCCTGCTTACTATCCGTCCCTCTCTCACACACACACACAAACACTTGTAATAATAAGTCTTGCGTTTGATACAGCGCCTTATCACGTCTTCGACTAACTGTGTAGTTTTGTAGTTTGTGGGCAAAACACGGCAGTCAATTGCGCACAGCAGCGTCCCCACATACAGCCGTGGATTGAGTGATCAAATTATTCTTTTTGAAGGGATTATTACCCCCTCAAAAGCGATCCCCCAATCGCCTAACAACCGGGTTCCTACTTGCTGGGTAAACAGAGGCGTGTGTGTGTGTGTGTAGACTAAGGAAACTTGCCCAACATTTCTCCCGGCCTGCTCGGGAATCGAACCCAGGTCCTCTCGCTTGCGAGGCGAGTGCTCTAACCACTGAGCTACAGGGACTTGCTTCACTGTACCCTGTGTAACTGGCGGGTAGCAGTCGCCCACCCCACGCTGGCTCACCAAAAGCCCAATGACAATGCTGGCATGGTACGCCAGGTCCTCGATGACCTCCGTCCTGCGGTTGGCGCCGATTCGCAGCGAGCGGCTGTGCACCTCCTCCGGCAGCACGGTGAGGATCTCCAGCAGGAACGGGAGCGCTGTCTCGTCGTTGCCGTACCTAGGAGACGAGGAGACGCTGGTGTCAGCCTGTGGCTCGGTCAACGGCAACAACAATAATCATTGCATTTGATACAGCGCCTTAGCACGTCTTCTGGGACGTCTCAAAGCGCTTCGCAGAATATACTGTAAAGTGTAGTGACTGTGTATTTTTGTGGGCGAAACGCATCAGCCAACCAACACCCACACACACACACACACACAACCAACGCAATAAAGTCACTCACTTCTCAGTTAAGGTCTGCACACAGCTCTTCCACGTGGTCATTTGTATAGCGAGATCCGCGACAGCGAGTGCCAGCTGGGTAACAACAACAACAACTTGCATTTACACAGCGCCCTTCGCCCAGGGTAGAGTCCCGGGGCACTTGACAATGGCGGAGCGCATCGCCGAGCCGGGGGTCGGGGGAGGTGACCGTAGGCACGGTCGAAGAGCAAGGTCTTCAGGAACGAGAGAGACATGAGAAGAGGGTAGGGAGTAGCGAGAGAGCAAGGAATGACGGTTGGTGCGACATGGAAGATGGCGTGAACTAGAAGAGGGGAAGGAGGGGGCAAGGCAGAGGGGTTGGGGAGAGAGTTCCAAAGCATTGGGGCGTAGTGGCTGAAAGCGCGGACGCCGGTGGTGGAGCGGAGGGGACGAGGGTCAAGCGTAGCGACTGTCTACTGGCGGACATACCTGTGTTACAATGGCCTGTGACATGTCCTTGAGGCTCTCCAGGTGTGTTAGCAGCGAGTCCCGTAGTGAGGCGTGCGTCTCGTGCGGCAGCTCGTAAAACGAGTACTGGATCTTCATCTTCATGGTCTGAGCAGCAAAATAACAGGACTCCACGTCCCGTCGCAACCTCAGCAGCTGGTCTGAGATTTGCCAAGAGAACATCTGGGGAGAGGGCCAGCGAGAGAGAGGAGATTCATAAGAACAGGAGGAGGCCATTCAGCCCCTCGAGCCTGTTCTGCCATTCTATTAGATCATGGCTGATCCGTACCTCAATTACCCGCCTTTGCCCCATATCCCTTGATATCCTGACCTAACAAATATCTATCCAACCATCTACCATTAACCAGATCAGCACCAGCAGAGAAAGAGATAGGGAGAGAGAGACAGACAGAAAGAGAAACACAGAGAGATAGAGAGAGAGAGAGAGAGAGAGAGAAGCTGGAGGCAGGAGTGGGAGGTTAGAGGTGAGAAGTCTTTCTGAATGAACCAGAGTGCTTCACTTAAAAAGCTTCTCTGCTCTGGAGGAAGAATGTACTCACTGATTTCTGAAACTCTCCCAGCCAGGCCGACGCTCTCTCCTTTCCCTGCGGGTCCGGGTGATGATATAAAGCTTGTACAGCCTGGTACACGGCGTCTAAGGTCACCTCCCCCTCCATGGCTGCTCCTGCAAACCAACAGCAGCAAACTCAGCATTACATAGGTACCCGCTTTACTGTTCCCACTTAAGCAACGCTCCCCTCACTGTGCATCTCTCATACCATGATGTACAGTAATAATAATAATAATCCTTGCATTTGATATAGTGTCTCAAAGTGCAGTGACTTTATTTTGTGGGCGAAACGCAGCAGCCAAATGCGCACAACAGTGTCCCACAAAAAGTCGTGGATTGAGTGACCAAATTGTTGTTGTTATTATTTTTGAATGAATTATTACCCCAGAAAGCGATCTGCCAATCAATTAACAACCGGGTTCCAACTTACTGCTGAGTAGACGGAGGCATATGTGTGGAGTAAGGAAACTTGCCTAAGGTTTTCCCTGCCCGGGAATCGAACATGGGTCCTCTCGCTTGCGAGGCGAGCGCTCTAACCAAAACGCTACAGGACTCCACGCTCAAAGGGACGCTCCTTCGGATGAGATGTTAAACTCAGGGCCCATCTGCTACATCAAATACAATAATACATGAAAATTATTATTGTAGAAACACTCACTCCAGGATACAGCAGTTAATCGCAATGAGCATCGCCAAAGAGTTTGTACAAAACGTTTTAAACCACCACTTGTGCTTCGGGTGAGACGTGAAACCGAGGTCCCATCTACGCCTGATCAGGTGGACGTTAAAGATTCCTGTGGTGCTATCGAAGAAGACCCCACATAAAATCACTAATTTACTTGATGGTTTAATGGGACATCGCTGTGCACAAAACTGGCTGCAAAACACACAATCACTAATAATAATCCTTGCATTTGTATAGCGTCTTATCACTTCATTGAGATCTCTCAAAGCGCCTCACGGGCTATACCGTAAAATGCAGCGACTGTATTTTGTGGGCGAAACGCAGCAGCCAGTTGCGCACAGCAGCGTCCCACAACCTGAACAGCCATGGAGTGAGTGACCAGGAGAGAGAAGCTCCCTTCTCTGTTCAATTAGCGCCACTGGATCTTTAACGTTCACCTGAACAGGCAGACGGGGAGTGAGGTTTAACGTCTCATCCAAAAGACGGCACCTCTGACTCAGTGGCGAGAGAGAGAGAGAGAGAGAGAGAGAGTGCTACCGATCAGACCAAGCTGACACGCAACTGTTTATGTGGGGCATCATCGCCATGCACAGAACTGGCTGCAAAACACAGCTCAGTCACTTCACTTGACTTGGGCAAACTTCCTTACTCCACACGCCAGTTTACCCGGCAGTAAGTAGGAAACAGGTTGTTAAGTCAATTAGCGGATCACATTTCCGGGGATAATAATCCCCCCAATAAAATATAGCAAAGAGAGCAAAATAAGTAAATTGTTCAATCCACGACTGTCTTTCTCTATCGCTCTGCCTTACACCCTTCCTTCCCCATTTTTAGGTCGCGCCTGAAGACCTTCCTCTTCGACCGTGTCTGCTGTCCCCTCCCCTCCCCCCAACTCTTGTGCTCCTTCGTGGTCAAGCAAGCGCTCCCAGACGCTACCGTGCGCGGGGGTGGGGGGCACAGTGTGAATCCAAGTCGTTGCGTGCGCAATCGGCTGCCGCGTTTCGCCCCCCGCCACCCCCCAAAGAAAAGCAAAGTCACTGCGCTTCATGCCGTGTGTCTGGTGAAGCGCTTCGAGGCGTCTCGGCGACGTGATGAGGCGCTGCGTCAAATGTCAGGATTACTATTAATGAACTGATCATAAGACATTATGGTCAGAGACAGACTCCGAGCCGAGGGGGAGCGGTGTCTGGGAGCCCTGGTGTGTGTGGGTGTGTGTCTGTGTGTGTATGGGATGTCTGTGTGTGTGGGTGTGTGTCTGCGTGTGTTGGTGTGTGTATCTATGTGTGGGTGTGTGTCTGTGTGTGTGTGTTTCTGTGTGGGTGTGTGTCTGTGTGGGTGTGTGTCTGTGTGTGGGTGTGTGTCTGTGTGTGGGTGTGTGTCTGTGTGGGGGGGTGTGTCTGTGTGGGGGGGTGTCTGTGTGGGGGATGTCTGTGTGGGGGGTGTCTGTGTGGGGGGGGGGTGTGGGTCTGTGTGTGTGTGTTTCTGTGTGTCTGTGTGGGTGTGTGTCTGTGTGGGTGTGTGTCTGTGTCTGTGTGGGTGTGTCTGTGTGGGTGTGTGTCTGTGTGTGTGGGGGGGGTCTGTGTGTGTGTGTTTCTGTGTGGGGGTGTGTGTGTCTGTGTGGGTGTGTCTGTGTGTGTGTGTGTGTGTCTGTGTGGGTGTGTGTCTGTGTGGGTGTGTGTCTGTGTGGGTGTGTGTCTGTGTGTGTGTGTCTGTGTGTGGGTGTGTGTCTGTGTGGGTGTGTGTCTGTGGGTGTGTGTGTGTGTGTGTCTGTGTGTGTCTGTGTGGGTGTGTGTGTCTGTGTGGGTGTGTGTCTGTGTGTCTGTGTGTGTGTGTGTGTCTGTGTGTGTCTGTGTGGGTGTGTGGGGGGACCTTCCTTTGCCTCTGGCTTTGCCTGTGGTCCTGGCTGCGGGCCTGAGGTCACGGTTCTGCCCTGAACCCGGTTGACACACCGACACCGACCGGGGTCCCGTTAACCGGGGCTGTCGACGGCCGAGCCGCCCCGGGATCCCCGAGCACCGGATCAGGAGACACCGGAGTCGCCCTCGAGGCCTCCCCCGCCTCTTACCTGAAGCCTCGGCCTCTCCTCCGCCTCCTTCCCCGTCTTCCCCCCGAGGCGCGGCCGCCGCCTCACACTCACAAGCCGCTGCCGCCGCCGTCTGAGAGAACCGAGTGGCGCACGCTGATGGCGTCAGAAGGTATCCGCTCACCTCATTGGCTCGCTACCCGCCGGTGACGCGTCCGCCAGACCAAGTTCAGCCATCCGATAGGTCAATGATCCCGTCCATCATCTGTAAACCCGCCCCCTCATGTCTACCCCACCCAACGCCTCTCATTGGTCCGTTCCCGCCGGTGACGCGCCCGCCAGACCGCAGTCAGCCGCCGTATTGGCCGTTCTGCACGTCAATCACCAGCAAGCCCACCTTCTCTCCTCTGCCACCGCCCAACGTCTCTCATTGGGTCCTTCCCCGCCGGTGACGCGCCGGCTAGACCCGCCCCGTCCCATACTATTGGTGGGTTTACCTGTTCATTACCAGTGAGTGCCCACCCCGTCCGCTCCTATTGGTCGACTTCTCTGTCCATCACCAGCGAGTGCCGCCTATTGGTCGGCTTGCCTCTCCATCACCAGTGTGTGCCCCCCCATCCCCTCGTATTGGTTGACTTGCCTGTCCATCACCGATGAGAGCCACCTCATTGCCTCCTATTGGTCAACGTGCCTATCCATCACCACTGAGTGCCCGCCCCTCCCTCCCTGTGCTGACTGATTGATTCCATCCTTGGCTTTTAATCCCTGCAATCCCCCTCATCCCCCCATAATCCCTGCAATCCCCCTCATCCCCCCATAATCCCTGCATTCCCCCTCATCCCCCCATAATCCCTGCAATCCCCCTCATCCCCCATAATCCCTGCAATCCCCCTCATCCCCCATAATCCCTGCAATCCCCCTCATCCCCCCATAATCCCTGCAATCCCCCTCATCCCCCCATAATCCCTGCAATCCCCCTCATCCCCCCATAATCCCTGCAATCCCCTCACCCCCCCCATAATCCCTGCATTCCCCCTCATTCCCCCCATAATCCCTGCATTCCCCCTCATTGCCCCCATAATCCCTGCATTCCCCCTCATTGCCCCCATAATCCCTGCAATCCCCCTCATTGCCCCCATAATCCCTGCATTCCCCCTCATTGCCCCCGTAATCCCTGCATTCCCCCTCATTGCCCCCATAATCCCTGCATTCCCCCTCATTTCCCTCCCATAATCCCTGCATTCCCCCTCATTCCCCTCCATCCCCCTCCCATTTCCCACCATTCCCCCTCCATCCCCCTCCCATTCCCCCCCATTCCCCCTCCATCCCCCTCCCATTCCCCTCCCATTTCCCCCATCCCCCTCCCATTTCCCCCAATTCCCCCTCCCATTACCCCCCACCCCTCCCACAATCAGGGTTGCAAGAAACGTTTGGAGCCCAAAAATTCCACCAAATATTATCCCTAAAAGCAGCCCAGTACGCGCTGGCTCCTAAGGGTTAGGGTGAGAGCAGAGTGGTCGGTTTAGGTTTAAATGCTACGGAAATGCAAACTGTTGTTGTGAACCTCAAAGGGGAAAATGTTTGCAGTTTTGAATTAAATTAACATTTTGTTAAAAGTTTGGCAGCCGCCTCAAGTTGCGGTTTCATGCATTGGTTCGAGTGCTCGCCTCGCAAGCGGGAGGACCTGGGTTTGATTCCCAGCGCGGGCAAAACTTTAGGCAGATTTCCTTGATCGACGCACAGGGCGACAAAAACACCCAATTGGGTGTGAACCCCCACCAATCTGGTAACATTGGAACCCCTCCTCATTCATTCCCACTCCTCAACCCTGATGTAGTGGCGAGAGCATACCACAGCAAACTCCCCCACCACCCACAACTCTTTACTGGATAAAACTACCAATAACATAGGAACAGGAGTAGGCCATTCAGCCCCTCAAGCCTGTTCTGCCATTCTATGGCTGATTTGTACCTCAACTCCAAATTGAGCAAAGCACTGTGAATAGGGCTTGGATCTGATATAACTCCTACAATCACTTATGTGTAACGCCTGTGTATCAAAATAATAATCCTTGCATTTGATACAGCGCTTTGCACCTCAACAACAACAACAACAACAAGATTCCATTTATAGAGCGCCTTTCACGTCGGGAGGACGTCCCAAGGCGCGGTACAGTTGGGTCAGGACCCGAGCATTGGGGGGGAAATGGTCAGGGTGAGGGGAGGGAAGGGAGGGAGCGAGGAGGGGGTAGAGAGTCGAGAGCGGAGCTGAAGGCTGAAGGTCAAAGAGAAAGGTCGTGAGACCGGCCTTGAAGGAGGAAAGGGAGGAAGTGGCGAAGGCACTGGGGATGGAGTTCCAGAGCCTCGGGGCTGAAGGCCCGACCACCGATGGTAGGGCGGTTGGGGCGGGGGACGTGGAGCAGACCGGAGCCGGAGGAACGGAGGGTACGGGCAGGTAGGGGGATAGTGGGTCAGAGAGCTGTCTCAAAGCGCTTCACAGGATATGCTGTAAAGTGTGGTGACTGTATATTTTGTGGTCGAAACACGGCAGCCAATTGTGCACAGCAGCGCCCCATAAACAGTGTAAAGTGTAGTGACCATGTGTGTTTTGTCTCTGTGGGGTGCAGGCAGTGATTTTAGGGTGTAGTGTGTAATTTTAGGGATACCGGCTGTAATTACGGATTAATGCTCCTTCGGCCAGTGCGCCCCAAAACTCTGGAAGACTCTCCCTCAATCCCTCTGCCTTGCCCCCTCTCTCCCCTCTTTCAAGTCCTGCCTAAAAACTTACCTCTTCAACTGTGCTTATGGCCCCCTCACCCCAGCTCCGAGTCAGACTCTGCTCTGAGATGCAACCCTACATGGAGGGCAACATATAAGATCAGTTGTTGTTGTTGTACTGCTCACTTCCTGTGTTTGTATTTCAGGGCCAGGGATGGGGGCTGGAATGGGGTCTGACCCCCTGATGATACGGGGGTTGTGGTGTGTGGAGTCACGGCTGCCCTTCTCCTCTCTTTCACCCCCAATATTGTGGCCTGCACTGCTCACTCCCTCTGCTCAACATATACAACATATACATCCTATACTGTGCCCTACACAATCTATACCACATTATACACACTCACTCCTAGACATATATAACTGATACATTCTATATGCATTCTGCCCACAAAGCACACAGTCACTACACTTTACAGCGACTGCAAAGCGCTTTGAGATGTCTCGATGACAGAATAATGCCAGGGTGGGTGTGAAGTGTTGGGGGAGAGGTCAAGGCTCTGAAAGGAGATTAAAATTTACCAGATCAGGCTGCATGGATGCAGCTCAGATCACTTAATTGGGAATAATATTGGGTCTGCAGTCAGTTAACAGAGGAGCCATTCATTGAAGCCGGCCACCATTCTCAGCTGCAACCACGTGTGGATGAGTGAAATGCATCAATTGCTTGTTACAATCCCATGTGGAACAGGTGAGCAGGTAAGTCGACAGGTGTGTGTACTCTGTTGGAGGATACAATATAAAGGGCTATCTGATTATCTGGCTCGTCAGTTGGTGGATCATTGTAGGAACAGTTCAGAGAGATTGTGAGATGGGTTGTCCAGGCAGGAGATGGTGTCTGATATTGGTGGCTATCATTGGCACAGTTTGTGGGGCCAACAGTCTGCAAGAGATGAGGTTGCGGAGGAGACAAGCGCAGCCTTCTGCCAGGATTATTGACTTCCATGCCCCACAGACGAGCAGTGATTTGGGTGTGGCAGAAGGCATCTCTCCCTTGCCTGCAGTCCTGGTGAGGTGCACTGAACGCCAATTGCTGGTGACTGTGTCTAGAGACCTGTTTGGAAGCGGCCACTTGATCCAAGCTGCTGACCTGACCTTGGGAAGTAATTGTGGCTCCAGTGGCCAGGATAGGATGGGTCGTGTCCTCTTTGAAGTGGGGCTGGGTGCCTGTGGCACTGTTGTGACGGTAAAGTAGGATTGAATATTCACTTGTTGCTTTTTCTATTGGGAGGAGGGAGAGGAATCTGTGTAGAGAATTTGTGGCTTAAGGTTGGAGGCATGATTTGCAGTTATGCTTAAAAACACTTCTATCCCAATCCTCCCTGTCTTCCCTCCACCCCTCCTGATCCCAACCCCCATCTTGGCTCCTAATTCCTGACTGTCCAGCGCCTTGCGACGTCCTCCTGTCAAGAAAGGTGCTGTGTGAACGTATTTACTGTTGTCTCATCTCCCCACAGATGTCTGCAGACTATCTGAACTACTCTACACACCTGTCCTATGAGCCCAGACCAATTGGAACCGTTATCCTCAGAACGAACGGGGCAGTAGTTCCCATCCAGTGCTTGTATCGCAGGTAATAGGAGTAACTGTAGTTATTGTGATTGCATTTGATATAGCACCTTATGTTGAGATGTCTCAAGATGCTTCACAGAATATGATCCACCAAATGACTAACAGCTGGGTTCCTACTTACTGCAGAGGTGTGTGTGGAGTAAGGAAACTTCCCTAAGGTTTTGCCCAGCCTGGAAATCGAACCCAGGTCCTCTCGCTCGCAAAGCGAGTGCTCTAACAACTGCACTACAGGTCTCCACAATAAAATATAAACACGTCCTGCATCTGAAGAGGTGCTGCCATTACTTTCCACCTCACCACTGCCTCTCTCCTCTCCTCCAGGCACCAAAACGTGAGCAGCCACGCTATCAAACCAACTTGGAGACCTTTCAGCTCCACGAAAACCGGGGAGGAACGCCTGGCATTCTCACTGCGGCTGATGAACGGTTAGTTGCTGTTGAGTCTCACCTGAGCAATCAACCTCGCCAAACAAGTTATCCCAACAACTGTGATCCTTGTATCTCCTCTTTGATCACCCTCCTATCCTTGCCCTCCACCCCTCCTGATCCCAACCACCAACTCGGGTCCAGATAAGTGAGTGTCCCAGCGCCTTGGGACGTCCCCCTGATGCTGTGTTGCTGTTTCAGATGACTGGAGTGCGGAGCGTGCTTCCAATGTCTACCACTTGGGGGAGCTCATTCACATCGAGGCCTCGGTTGAGACTGGGAACCATTTGGATCTCAGGGTGTTGATTGACCGCTGTGTGGCCACCTTGACCCCAAACAAGACCTCCAGCCCCAGATACTCCATCATTGACTCCAATGGGTGAGTGGACCTTCGCTGGAAGTCTCCGATGCCCATTGATGATGATAATCCTTGCAGTTGATACAGCGCCTTATCAAGTCATCAAGACGTTGCAAAGCGCTTCACAGGATATACTGTGAAGTGTAGTGACTGTGTATTTTGTGGGTGAAACGTGGCAGTCAATTGCACCCAGCAGCGTCCCCACAAACAGTTGTGGATTGAGTGACCAGATTATGTTTTTCATCTATTTTTTGGAGGGATTATTACCCCCGGAAAAGTGATCCGCCAATTGACTAACAACTAGGTTCCTACTTACCGCTGGTAAACGGAGGCGCGTGTGTGTGGAGTAAGGAAACTTGCCCAACATTTCACCCTGCCCAGGAATTGAAACCAGGTCCTCTCGCTTGCGAGGTGAGCGCTCTAACCACTGAACTTCAGGACTGTACTGACTCAATTAACCTCAATCCCACTCGTCTTGTCACACAGGTGCCTAGTGGACAGCAGAGACGAAGGCTCGTTTTCCTCTTTTGTATCACCAAGAGCTGAAGAGGATAAGCTACGGCTCCTCCTGGACGCATTTCGCTTCCATGAGGACCATCGGAACTCTGTAAGAAAGCCCTTTGATCCTGTCTTTTCACCCCCCCCCCCCACCCCAAGCAAGAGAACCTGGGATTGATTCTTGGGGCAGGATGAAACTTTAGGCAAGCTTTCATACTCCACACACCTCTGTTCCCTTAGCAGGAAGTAGACATCTGGTTGTTGGTCGATTGGCGGATCGCTTTCCTGGGGTAATAATCACTAAAAAAATTTGGTCACTCAATCCACAACTGTTTGTGGGGACGCTGCTGAGTTTTGCCCCCAAAATATAGTCACCCTACTTGACAGTATATCCTGTAAAGTGCTTTGAGACGTCTCGAAGACGAGATAACAAATACAAGGATTATATTGAGAACGCTGTTTTATTTTATTAAGGTGCAAGGCTTTGACTTGTCGATAATGTACCCAAACACATAAGATGTTTACTTCAGTCTGTTGTTCTGTTTCTCTCCCCCCCCCCCCCACCCCCAGCAGTAAAGTGGAGAATAACTATTCATTGCTCTGTAGATATTCATTACGTGCCACCTGAAGGTTTCAGCCGCAGTGGATAAGGCCATTGACTCTATGAACAAAGCCTGTTGGGTCGATAAGTCAAGCAATGTGTAAGTAAACCTCCATTAGTGTTGCCTCTCCATAGTCTGGTTGTCTGTCTCTGCCAATGTGACGCGCTCCAGGACACTACCCATGTGAAGGGTGCTATATAAATGCAAGTTGTTGTGCCAGGTGGGTCTACAGTATTCCTGGGCATTGCCCATATACTAGCCTGGTGTGGTGGCAGGATTTGGAAGGGCAGACTGACATTTGGGCAGTCTTCTCACTTGGTGCCTTTCTTTCAAAAGTAAGAGATGGATTTCTGTAGGGAAAATAATATCTTGGGATACAGTATATAGTTTAGGACATGACTTGTGCACGCGACTGCCAGGATCATAGAATTATACAGCACAGAAGGAGGCCATTCGGTCCATGTCTGTGCCAGCTGGAACACAAAAGAGATGGACCTTCTTTCGTCTTGCAATTATGTTCTTAACCTTGCAAGCCAAAGCCTTAATGGATAGAACTGATGGAGCAGTGGGAAGCTCACCAGATAGTGCTCAATGGCAAGCTATGTGGTTTCCTCTGACCTTTTTTGTCTCCAGCAGTCATCACAATACACTCTGGAGAACAGCTGACCTGCGCCTAATACCTTCTGGAATTAGGTTGCATCACTCCAGAGAGAGTGTGTATTCCATCCCAACAATCTATCTCTGGAATTTCCATGTGTAGGTGGGAGGTTTGGAGACGGTGATGGGTTTCCGCATGTGTCAGATACCCGTCTGACCAAAAAACAGTGGAAGTGCATTTCAGACATGGAGAACCTTCCACATAATGTGTGTAGAACATGGGTTCAGATACTCCTTAAGCATGGTAACATGTTAAGGTACCTGGCTGACCAAAAGTTGCTTGCTCTAACAAGGATTTGTTGACCTGCAGGTGGGTCTCAGTAGAAGGTTTGGATGCTGTGTGCAATTGCTGTGAACTAGACAACTGTGGATCAAGTGGAGGGGGTTTTCTTTCCAGAGGAAAGCGAGCTCTAAACTCTGAACCAGGTATGTTGAGACAATGTCATGTAATCTGGATTGTAACCCCTCAAATGATGGGACTTTTACTGGAGTCCTGTAGTGTATTGGTTAGAGATTGGTTAGAGCCCTCACCTTGCAAGCAAGAGGACCTGGGTTTGATTCCCAGCCGGGACAGGATGAAACCTTAGGCAAGTTTCCTTACTCCACACACACGCCTGTTTACCTGTCGGGATCAAACCCGGGTCCTCTCGCTTGCGAGGCAAATGCTCTACCCACTGAGCTACAGGACTCTGTCAAACTTGACTGTGTGATATTTATTGAGTGGTTGGTCTTTTCCCTCTGTGCTGCAGGAAGCTTTGCCCATGGAGAACGAAAAGCCGAGGTGATGGTGGGGCCTTTGGTGATCTTCGATTACGGTTCGGGAGAGCTCGTGGCTTCAAAGCTGGACGATGCCTTGTCTCAGCGTTCAACGAGCAGCTCTTCAGGTGGATAACATGCGAATCTGTTCCTGTCTCCTCTTCGACCGCGCCTTCAGTCGCCCTCCTACCTCACTGCCCTCCACCCCTCCTGATCCCAACCCCCAGCTTGGGTTCAAATCCCTGACTATCCAGCGCCTTGGGACATCCTCCCAACGTGACACGTGCCATGTAAATATCACTTGTTCCGGTCGTGGAGCAAAGGTGGTTATTTGGGGTTGAGGTACTGTGGTCAAATGAAATAACGGAATGGACCTGAGGGGCTGAATGGCCTACTTATGTTCCTAAGAGCTGAGGTGTTTAGTGTGTGCACACACCCACCCACACCTGTTTACAGTAAGTAGGAACCTGGTTCTTAGTTGATTGGCAGGAGGGTAATAATCCCTTAAAAAAAAATTGGTCACTTCAATCTACGATTGTTTGTGGGGACACTACTGTGCGCAATTGGCTGCTGCGTTTCGCCCACAAAATACATAGTCAATACACTTTACAGCGTATCCTGTGAAGTGCTTTGAGATGTCTCGATGACGTGATAAAGTACTGTGAAATGCTTATTATTATAACCGCTTCCTCTCTTCCCAGGATCAGCTGCGTTCATTGTGGCTCTGGCTCTAGCTGTGGCGGCCATCGTATCTTCAGTGTTTATCTTTGCCTCTTTGGCTATGAACCATCTCTCACGTAGAGTGGTTCTGATCTGAAGGTTGCGTTTCAATAAAATCTCAAAGTGACTCGTCCTTCGGTGGTTACTGAGTCCTGTGTTCTCCAGCTGACAGTTATGAAGTCCAGTAGCTCAGGGGTCAGAGCGCTCGCATCGCAAGTGAGAGGACCCGGGTTCAATTCCCGGGTGGGATGGGGTGAAACGTTGGTCAAGTTTCCTTACTACACACACACACACGTACGCTTCTGTTTACCAGAGGTAAGTAGGAACCTGGTTGTTCGTCAATTGCTTTTTAAATAAATAATAACTGAGTCACACAACAAGAAGATTCCATTTATAGAGCGCCTTTCATGTCGGGCGCTGTACAGTTGGTTCAGGACCTGAGCATTGGGGGGAAATGGTGAGGGAAGGGAGGAGGGGGTAGAGAGTCGAGAGGAGAGCTGAAGGTACGGTCAAAGAGAAAGGTCGTGAGACCGGCCTTGGAAGAGGAAAGGGAGGAAGCGGCGAAGGCACCGGGGGATGGAGTTCCACTCAATCCACGACTGTGTGTGGGGACGTCGCTGGGGGGGCAATTGGCCGCCGCGTTTGCCGACGACCTGCACGAGTCACTCCACTTTACAGCGTGTCCTGTGAAGCGCTTTGAGAAGTCTCGACGACGTGATCAGGCGCGGGATCCACTGCGAGGAGGGGAGTTGGTGACTTTGTTCTTGCTCGCGTCACCGGGACCTCAGGAGCTCAAACACTGGCGCGAAGGACGTGCGCACGTGAGCACAGACGCTGATGTACGAAACACTATGTCAGCAACGCAAGCAAGTTCGTGTAAAGAGCTTGAAGCACACACCGACACCCTGCGCGCACACGCACCAACCCTGATATACACACATGTTGATGGACACACAC